GCAGCAAGGGCGGAGCAGAAGGGAAAGGTGGCCAAAAAGCCAGGGCCAACGCCGGCGCCCGGAGAGTGATCAGGCCCCGGCCAAGTGTCCCCGGCACTGCAGCAGGTGCGATTCACTAAACGCGGGCCGCGGCTCGCGCGCCCGGCCGCGGAAGCCGCTATTCCAACGGTGCGACAAGAAACTGGCACCGGCCATCATGCCAACCGCCGTGAGTGAGCATTACCAGACCTGAGTAGCTAAAACTGGCACACGCACTCGTACCACAGGAAGAATAAATGTAATGGCATGCGACGCAGTGCGGTAAGAAAAAAGACCAATAAAGTTTTCATGCTTTATTTTTTAGAATTACATATAAAATAACCCTTGATCATATAAGTTAATTTCGCATCTTCTTGTAGGTGTCAGCGAATAAAGGTGCTCGCGCTTAGTGTTGTGTGATCTAGAATTACACACACTAGTGTGTTTAACTCTGTTCCTGTGTATCGGGAGGAGAGAAGAAATGCAGTCGGAATACCATATATCCTCATGAACTATTAGTTTAATAGAAGCTCGACGCTGATCACTTTGTCACCAGGAATAGGACACAGCCCTTGTTTGCATCTTTCGCAAAGAGAAACTGCAAAACCCAATGATCAAACACTTACAAAGGCACTCATAACCAAATGTTATTGTGAATGGAAGAAAATATGCAGTCTCAGAGAAACTAGTAAAGATATATCTAGACTCAGATTCATAAAAATTAGCAAAAACCTCATCACAGTGTTCCTTTGTACAAGAGAAATACTTTCCCTGCTCTGAGCACTTTCAGCCACTGACTTTGTATGGGATTTAAAGACCCTCCGTCCGTGGGTGCCCAGGCATACATAATTAGTCCTAAACTGAATCACAAAAGCCGTGCACTGTTAATGAAATATAATTAATCTAGTGTACCTCACATCAAAATGTTTGTATCAACTTTCCCTCCTGATCTAGGGAAATAGAAATGGCTTCAAGAAGGATAAGTAGGAGTTAAAGAATATTATAAATTCTCAGTCAGAACATCCATTTTTCAACATTAAAGATACTTAGAGCAATAAAAGTCAGGTCTATGCTGCCAGGCTAAGTGCGAGGCTCAATGAATACATATTACCAAACCAATAACTGATCATTTTATAGACCCCTGAGCATAGTGCTGTCTTATTACATCAATCATTATACAGATAATGTATGTTGCTGAATAGAACTAACTAGAAAGAAGATTCAAATAGTCATAATAGTGAACCGATGAATCGCCACTCATGCAAAGTAACTCTGGCTAATGATGACTTACTGTAGTCCATATTCTATATCAATATATATCAAACTGAGAGCACAAACAAATATCAATTAATTACTGGGTGTGTGTGTGTGTGTGGTGGTGTTGTGTGGGTGTGTGTGTTGTGTGTGTGTGTGTGTGTGTGGTTGTGTGTGTGTGGTGTGCATGCTGTTGCGCACATTGTGTGTGTGAACATGCGTTGTTGTTTCCACTGGGTTGTGTTTGCACATGGTGTTTGTTTGCACTGTGGTGTGTGTGCCAACCATGTGGTGTGTGTGTGTGCACATGTGTGTGTGCCATGTGTGTGTGTTTGTACATGAGTGTGTGTTTTCACATGTGGGTGTTGCCAAATGTGTGTTTGCACATGGTGTGTTTGTGCACATGTGTGTTTTGTTTGCACATGTGTGTGGTGTGTGTGTGTGTGTGGTGGTGTCGTGTGTGTGTGGTGTGTGGTGGTGTGTGTGTGTGTTGTTGTGTACTTGTGTCACATTGTTATGTCACATGTGTTTTTGATGATTGTTACAAGTGTATTGTCAGTGTGTGTCATTCACTTTTGCAAGTTTCACGAATCATGCGCACATTCTATTTCCACATGATTTTGCATTCTCAGTTATCACTTCAATCATGCACCACACCATGTTTTCTTTTAAAATCTTATTTATTATACGTTTTTTTTTTTGTGTTTTTTTTTTTTTTTTATTATTATTATTTATTTATGGACTTTATACATTTTATATCCAATTTATTTCACTTTCCTAATGCATCCTATTTTTTCTTACCATTAACTTATTTTCCATTTATCTTTAATGTTTTTCTCTAATTTATTTCTACCTTCTTACTTAAATTATCTATAATATATTTAATTCAAATTCAATTATCAAACTACATTAACTACAAAATTAATCTACCAAAACTTAGATAACAATCTCACACCATTAACATAAATGTTATTATTTTGTATAAAATTTGATCAATTACCCCTATTTTTTTCACTTTATTCAATAAACCATTTCAATGTATATATACTTCACTATTAAATCTTCATACACATTCTTAATTATTCTAATACCTGGACACGTTGTATATATGAACACATCTAATATACCTAACCTAATGCATCCTACAGCAAAATTAAATATATTTAATGCACAAATCTAAAAATGAGTTTTATACCATAATATTATAACACACACACACACACACAACAACACACCACACCCACCACACACACCACACACACACACACAACACACAACCACCACAACACACACACACACACACACACACACACACACACACACACACACACACACACCAAACACACCCACACACACACATACACCCCATACCATCACAACACACACCACACACCACACACACACACACACACACAACCATTTAATATATATAGTATAATATTATATATTATATATATATTATATAATTATATAGCACTAAATATATATATACATATATATATTAATAATATATAACATATATAATACAATATAAACATATATATAATATACAGTATATATATACAAATATATATACATATATATATACATTAATATATATTACATTAAATAACATATATATAACATATAATATACAATATATACATAACTATTATATTATACATAATTATACATATAATTAACATTATAGTATAGTATATACATATATATAATAAATATATCTAACTATATAACATATAATATATATAACATACCCATATTATATAATATAATAAAATATATATAAAATTATAAAATAATATAATATATTAACATATATTATATAACATCATATATACTATTAATATATATATATATATATATTATAATATTATATATATATAATATATATTATAAATATAATAAAATATATAAATATAACAATATATTATAAAAAATACATATATAAATACTAATAATATATAAAACATATATATATATAACATATATAAATACATATATGGATTGAACTTCTACTCAGAGATATCACAGATTATTATATAATATATAAGTAAATTATACACCAAGACATAGATATTTAAAACATAAGAGCAACTAATGAACTTACCAAACGGAAAGTAAGAGTTATCTATGAAATTCTATCCTCATATATAATATATCGTGGTATAAGAATTATTCAATAAAAAATAAGCAACTTACACTAATTTAATAACTGCGCTAACTGCGATCTGGTCACGTTTCTACCAGCTAATATAACAATATTCAGTCTCGGAAAGTAACTAATCGTTCAAAATTGATTCAGGAAGAGTTAGTCCACTCACCACTTTAACTCTATTTATTTATTACTTTTCGTTAAACATATTATTAATTATTATCAATAATTTAATAATTATTGTATCTTCATACATTCTCCTGCTCATGCTCTTTTGTCCTGCTTATTATCTATTTTCTTTGTAAATTTTTGCTTAAGTTGATCAGATTTTAGTTTCAAATTTATATTTTAGTGTCTTACATATTATACTTTTTATATATTGAAATTAAAAAAAAAAAATAAATAAACTCACAATAGAACAAGTATTAAATACATATTATTTTGGTTATAATGCCTATATTGTATTATTTGCGTTAAAATAAAAGTAAAAAAAGCATAGCATTTAACTTAGACTATTATAATTTTTGTCAATGTATATAATAGCCCTTACTCTTACTGGATCTCATAATACAGGCCACTATATCTAAGTTTACATTTTAATTGACTTATCCCTATTATGCCATTACAGCAGGGAAGATCTACATTCTCCTTCAAATAGAAATGCTCTCAAGATGGGAGGATTAAATTTGCAGTCATCTCTTCACGACCGTGATATAGCAATTAAGGAATGGTGCTTAATGACCTCCTGAGAAACTGTTTGGTGATGCCAAAAGAGGACACTAAACGAAGGAGTGTAGGAACTACTTATAAGGTATACATGACAACTATAAGCAGAGAATGTTAGTTTACATGATATACAATGCTTGATCAGATGTGAACTACGAGCTATACAAACCACATGACGTAGATAAGTCTTATAGCAACTAACCTAGCGTTGATTGTTTAATGTTGAATCAAGTGTTACAAATTTAAGATGGATAGGGATAAATTTAACAAAGATAACATAGGGGACTGAGACAGGTATAAACATATGAACCTATCAAGTAAAAAGGAAACAAATGGCATTGAACCATTAAAACAGAAAAAAAATAAATAAGATTATATAAAATAAAAATAAAAGGAATAATTGTAATTGCAAGTAGAAAGCCAACACCACGACTTGTGAGAACATAGATTTATTACTATTAACAATTACTAAATCTCGAAAAGGTCTTGTAATTAAAGAAATAAGATATAAATCAAATAAGCAGTACATAAAAATTAGGGGGAACTTTCAGTAATTATGGTTAGCTGCTATTAAGTGCGTGAAGGACTGGTACATATAGATGTGATGTTCGATGCAATGATAAATAAATGATGTCTCAATAATCAAATGTTACCATATTTGTGTTACTTAGGAGAAATGACTTTGAAAGAGGGACCAGATTTAGATTCTAGCTCGCACAATAATAATTTTCCAAGGCTCAGAAAGAACGCCTGGATAATTTAGATCAAGCCAATCAAGAAATTGATAGACTAAGAAAAACAATTGAAAAGTTGCAGAGTGAGTTACAAGGTATGTATAGCTCAAGAATTG